TCTGTAGGTGGAAAGAAGTCCTTCGAAGCACGACACATGGTTCTCACACTCAGATCCAGCTTCTCGTCCAGCATATGCCGGAAGTAGCCAAGGTTCTCAGTTAATCTCTTGTAATATTTGAATAGGGTCAGAAAAGTATTGAAACATGCTCTATAATTGGTAACTAAATGATAGAAAGTAGTTGTAAAAGGATTCCATGTTTTAACAAGGTTTCTGAAAATGTAACCCGGTCTCACAGACGTCAGCCTTATGCTTTTAAGTTGTTCATTTTAATATTCGTGATCGTTATTCATCCTAACTTCCTATCATGGTCCTTGTGCGATTAGACAGCCAATTGAGAGGGCCTGTTTTGGTGATGAATACTTTATAAAACTGTCCCTGGCGTTTAGTTAGATGGCAACTGAGAAAAGAAACACGGACGAGGCTAAAAACTGGATTTAAACCTTGCAAAAGAAGTAAACTTATTTGTGATTCCAAAACTCCTTGAGTGCAGCAAACTATTCCTTTAGCTTTATTGATGTTATTAATAGTCATCTTCCGGCACAAAGCGACCTTTTTGATGAACAGGAAGGAAAGCCTTGTGATTTACGTACCCTAAGAGGAATATATTAATGATTCTTTGCAGAAATTTCTTGATCGCTGCATTGTCGAGGAAGGTGACCCAGAGGATGAAAATTACAAGGTAAATTGGTGCTATCTTTTAGTTAATTTTTTTTTATCCGGGAATATGATGAAGAACATGAAATTCTTTCTCGAAGTGAAATTTGAAACTTTGTAGTAATGAAACAATCTTTAATAAGCGTTTAAGACGTAACTTTTATGGGATTTTTTAGGATATAATTGATATAGTGATGAGTAGTTTTTTAGTTTTTAACCTTGTAAGTAATTTAAATAGCTATGTAAATTATTACCTCATAATTATTATTGTTCCTGAAAAGCCCCATTGGGGAGGTTCAATAAAGCATTCATTCATTCATTTTAAAATCATAATTGTAGTATTGTACTTGATNCTCGTCCAACATATGCCGGAAGTAGCCAAGGTTCTTAGTTAATCTCTTGTGATATTTGAATAGGGGCAAAAACGTATTGAAACATGCTCTATAATTGGTAATTAAATGATAGAAAGTAGTCGTAAAAGGATTCCATGTTTTAACAAGGTTTCTGACAATGTAACCCAGTCTCACAGACGTCAGCTTTATGATTTTAAATTGTTCATTTTAATATTCGTGATCGTTATTCATCCTTACTTCCTATCATGGTCCTTGTGCAGTTAGACAGCCGATTGAAAACGATTATCCAACCAATGAGAGGGCCTGTTTTGGCGATCAACACTTTATAAAACTGTCCCTTGCGTTTAGTTAGATGGCATCTGAGAAAAGAAACACGGACGAGGCTAAAAACTGGATTTAAACCTTGCAAAAGAAGTCAACTTATATGTGATTCCAAAACTCCCCGAGTGCAGCAAACTATTCCTTTAGCTTTATTGATATTATTAATAGCCATCTTCCGGCACAAAGCGACCTTTTTAATGAACAAGAAGGAAAGCCTTGTGATTTACGTACCCTAAGAGGAATATATTTAATGATTCTGTGCAGAAATTTCTTGATCGCTGCATTGTCGAAGAAGGTGACCCAGAGGATGAAAATTACAAGGTAAATAGGTGCTATTTTTTAGTTAAATTTTTTTATCCGGGAATATGATGAAGAACATGAAGTTCTTTCTCGAAATGGAATTTAAAACTTTGTAGTAACGAAACAATCTTTAATAAGCATTTAAGAGGTAACTTTTATGGGATTTTTTAGGATGTAATTGATATAGTGATGAGTAGTTTTTTTAGTTTTTAACCTTGTAAGTAATTTAAATAACTATGTAAATTATTACCTCATAATTATTATTGTTCCTGAAAAGTCCCATTGGGGAGGTTCAATAAAGCATTCATTCATTCATTTTAAAATCATAATTGTAGTATTGTACTTGATAGTGCAGATGAAGCAAATTCAGAAATTATTTCATCAACGTGAGTTTTATCAATGAATATTATGAAATTTTTTTTTTCCTTACGTGATGTTTAGGTTTCATACGACCTTCGGTTCATTCAAGGAATGCCGGACGAAAAACGCAACGGG